TGGATAATAGTTCTGTGGAGAAACCTATAGATACTGATAGAAACCTCAAACCAAAGAGCCTGTTAATTAATACATCCCACCCCCTCACGCACAGCTTCCAACAGCTTTGTAGGCCTTACACGTTTAGATGGACAACGAAAGATAATTGAGAAGAGCCTCCAACATGAAAGGCAACGACCAGAAACAAAACAGAAAAGAACAAACAGAACAAAGAAATGTGATGGCTCAGTGATTGAGCATGAACCTATGAACCAAGAGATTACCAGTTCGATGCCTCGGTTGTGGATTCAATCCCCAGTAGGGGATGTGCAGAAAGCAGCCAATCGATGTTTCTCTCTCCCTTCCTCTCTCTAAAAAAAAAAAAAAAATCAATAAAAACATTAAAAAAATAAAAATGATGATTAAGAAGCACCTCACGTAGGTGGAAATATGAAACCGGGAAATGAGATGTGTTATCCTTTCCTTTCACCATAAGAACCTGAGTTTCTTCTCTTAGTAGAAGGTGGCCGTTCTACAACCTCAGAGGCACAGGCCAAGGAACAGAGAAGAGCCACAAAAAGAAATCCCAAGTTCACTTCTCTGCATCCCCATCCCCATGTCATCGTCCACGACAGCATCATCTCTTAACTGGACCACGAGAAGAGCCCCCGAAAACAGTCTCCCTGTTTCAGACTAGTCTCTACCAAACAACTCTACAAAGAACACTCAGAGTGACCTTAAAAAATATCCAATCATTTCAGGCCCCTGATTCAACATTTTCAGTGGCTTCCTATTGATCTTGGCATAAAATCCAATCCCCTCACACTGGCCAATAAGGCCTTGTATCATCTTGTCTGTCTGCTTCTTCAACTTCATCTCCTCCCGCCCCACTTGCCATTCCGCTTATTCCTTCTCCTTTCCCACTTGCCAGTCATACCCAGGACTTTCTGATGTCAGACGACGAGTTTGTTCTGCCGAGAGGCCCCTGTACATGGCTGCTCATGTTGTTGACTTGTTCATTGTCTCTCCCCGCACTGGAACATGAGCTCCATGACAGCAAGTGCCTGTCTCCCTTATTTGTCACTATTACACCAGCCTCTAGCGCAGCAGCTCTCAACCTTCTGGCCCTTTAAATACAGTTCCTCATGTTGTGACCCAACCATAAAATTATTTTCATTGCTACTTCATAACTGTAATGTCGCTACTGTTATGAGTCGTAATGTAAATATCTGATATGCAGGATGGTCTCAGGCGACCCCTGTGAAAGGGTCGTTAGACCGCCAAAGGGGTCGCGACCCACAGGTTGAGAACCACTGCTCTAGAGGAATACCTGGCATGTAGTATGTGCCCAATAAACATTTATTGAATAAATAAATTTGTAGTTTCAAAGACTCCAAGTTTCCAGGGTAGAGGTGAAGTGGTAGAAGATGAAAAATACTGAACCATTAATTTCATCAGGAGATATCAAAACTTTATGGATGTTAAGATCAGCATTTCCCGTGACCCAACTGAGTTTCGATGTGAAAAATTCTTATCTATTGTATCAATGTCAGTAAAGAGTATGCTATGCTTTTGCACGATGTTATCATTGAGGGGACTGGATAAAGGCTACACGAGAGCTATTATTTCTTACAATTGTATGTGAATCTGCAGTTATCTTAAAACATTTAATTAAAAAATTCTAATCTAAAGGTAAAATAATTTAGTATTTATTCAGCCTGCTTATATAGTACTCACCCCAAAATGTATTCCTCCACAGAATACTCTGTGATGACAGATGCTCACGGACAGAACTTAGGCTACCAAAGGAGGCACCATTTCTGGGAGGCGCTATCTCTTTCCTGGAGCCGAGAACATTAGACTCTGTTCTTAACCTCACACGGCACCTGGCCCATAGTCAGTGTTCAATAAATATTTATTCAGTGAGCTAATTATTTCTGAGAAAGCCAAAATGGCATCCAGGTACAGCCTGTGAACTGCCCATCATAGCATTCCAACCTGGCAAGACACCAGCACCAAAGGCAGGTCTATAAATAACTCTGTAAACCACTCACAAAGCATTTAAGATGTCCAAAACGTACAGTTGATCTTGTTCGCACATATCTAATCACTCAATTCTCCCATGAATACCACATTACACAGTAAGGTAGGACAGGAATACTGTTAGGCCACCTATAAAAATCGTTTTTTCTGTTTTTAAGAAAATATATTTCTTTATTGATTTCAGAGAGGAAGGGAAGAGGGAGAGAAAGAAACATAAATGATGAGAATCATTGATCAGCTGCCTCCTGCACGCCCCCTACTGGGGACCAAACCCAAAACCCGGCATGTGCTCTTGGCTGGAATAGAACCCGGGACCTTCAGTCTGCAGGCTGGTGCTCTATCCACTGCGCCGAACTGGCTAGGGCTATAAAATCATTTTTTAAATGGATACTGAAATAGTCCTGGTCTAATTAACCATGGCCCCTTCCAAAAACTGAGCAGTAAATCAGTGGTTTGGGGACAGTTACACGTGGAGAACCTATCTGACGTGTCAGTTCTGGTAAAGGATGAAGAATCAATCTCCTGGTTGTGGCTGTTTTTCCTTCTAATTAGACAACAGTTAATGGACAGAAGAGCATACTTTTCTATTGTATCAACCCATTCAGCCAACCTCTATACTTAAGGCATGTTTCCGGGACTAACATCCTCTAAAAGAATATTTACATGTTAACATTCCACTTCACTTATTAGAAGTTACAATCACGCCAAAGTTACAAATTATCACTGACTAAGGTTTGACATAAACTAAGTTCTTCTATCCGAGCACTTTTCTTTTCTCACTTATGTAACCAGGAATACTTCCTCCATGAAAGAGCAACTGTGTTTCCCCCCAGACTGTCTACACTGAGCTCTAAACAAAGTCCAAGCGGCTACTGCGCTTGAAACCGATTAGTAAAACACAAAGTATTCAGCGTAACACAGGAGTTGATTTAAACCGATAAAAAGCAGGAAACTCAGAGCTGAAGGTAAAACCAGCTCCTGACATGCCCCATTGTTCCCTGGCACACTAAGACACTCAGCACATTAGGTGGCCTCGTATCTCATCTGGACTAAATACCAAAGCTGAATGCATCTATTTAAGGCAGATGTGGCCTCATCCTTAAATTTCCAGATTTAAATCACTGCTGTCCTTTGTCATTTATTTTCTAAAGTGGCAGCTTTTGTAAGAGTAACCCAAGAAAAAGGTTTTATATGGAGGAGGCAGTTGGAAGACTGGTATATGCTCCTCAATTGTGTAGAAGAGAATCTTTGAAGTTTAAATTTAGCAGCCACATCAGCCCTGAATATTAACACTGTCTTATGAATGAGAGAAACTAGATTTACAAATAAAACCTTAAAAAAGTTATTCAAGCTAATTTTTAAGTAAATCCATTTTAGAACTTACTTGTAAGGATGAACTATTTTTTCTGTTCCTAATTCTGGCACTGACCGTGATATTTAATGTCCATCAGAACTACCTCTAGATTGCAGAGCACATTCCACACTCCGTCACAGAACGAAGCCATGAAAAAAAAAAACCAAAAAAAACAAACAACAAAACAAAGTTCTGTTTCAGAGAAACAAAAATTAAATTACTTGAAGGTAACTGAGGAACTATAAGGAATTCCTTGAGTTTATATTTCATGTGGTCCATTTGAAAACAGCCATATCTAAGGGAGACTTACTTTCAAATAAGTTCAGTTGTACGTTGCCACCCTTACTCATGGCCTTTCCATTCTAGGTATGTTTTATTCCTAAGAATGACAGAAGTAACCCCTGAAAAACCATTTATCTCTTAGGCTTGCAGCCTCCTTTACCAAAGAATAATAATGCCTTCAAAGCTACACAACAAGATGGTAAAGTTATTTGGAAACTGGGCCACCTAAAATTTCTCCCTCCGTTTCAGTACCTCTTTTCCGAAATGTTTTCAAGGGGAAAAAAACATGAGCAGAAAACAGAGCATTTATGTCAGTATGTGCAGGTTTGTAATGTGTATGCATGACAGCACCAGGCAACAACTCCAAAATAAAATAAACAATTCCATTCATAACATCAAAAGGAATAAAATTCTTAGAAATAAATTTAACAAAAGATGCAAAACTTACTCAAAAACTACAAAACATTTTTGAGGAAGAAAAAAAAAGACCTAAATAAAGGGGAAAACATCCCATATTCATGGATAGCATTAAGATGGCAATACTCCCCAATCTGATCTGCAGATTCAACACCATTATATCAAAATCCAAGCTGACTTCTTTAGTCAGACATTATGCACTAAGAAAACATCATTTACAAGAATGGTTAAATACTTCTTGTACCTAGGAATTACTTCTGGTTTGTAGATGAAGGTTTTAGAAACTCTGAAACAGAAATCAACTGCATCAGCCCTCCATGCCCGTAGGACTCTCTTAAGGTAAATTGATTGAAAACCCACATATAAGCCCTCATATCCAAACAAGGCCCCCTCTGTAATATAACCTCCACACTGCCAGCTTGGATCAGTGGAACAGTCCAAAGTCCACCTGAAAAAAATATGCGGGGGTGCAGTGATGGGAGCTAAGGGAAACTGGAAACAAACAAACAAAAAATGCTCCTTGACTTCCTCCCATAGCGTCAGAGATCTAAATACATAAAGAAGAAAATGCATTTTAAAAATCTTTAACCCTGCAATTTCTTGGGAAAAAATCTGCAAGGCAATTTCCTTTAAATAAATGGAACAAATATTATATTGTTTGATGTGAATCAATTTATACAAGTCATCTAACGAGCAGAATTAGTATATTGTGTACCAGTCACATTAATGCAATAGAAATGTTGCATACACTCCAGACCTAGTGAACCTCACTTCATCAGGATGTAGGTAAAGAAGTTAGCCTCTCTTTTACTCTGAAAGAGATCAAAGGTTGAGCCAAGACGAACTTTCAGACATGCTTCCTCTGCCTCCCAAATCACCATATAAAAGCAACCTTTATTTAATAAACACACATATAGAAAATTTATGCCACTGACAGGAATTTATTCTTCCATTAAATAAGACTACAACAATCTGAATTGTCTACTTAGAGCTGCAATCCCATTCAAAATTAATGCTCTTTAAGTTTTTAACATTAAAAAAAAGACTTATGAAAAGAAAAAAATAACTGCTTAGGGGGGGAAAAATGGAAAGTCCACCAAAATAATTACACTCATTTACATTTGTGAATAAAAAAGGCAGATGTCCCTTTACACTGACTGGTACCACAGAATGTGCTAATCTACACAGACTCCTCCTTATACAAGACACGCTGCATTATATTTAGAGATTCGACACATGAAGGCACAGCTGGGCGCAGGGCATTCACCTTGCCAAAGAGGCCCAAGGTTTTCATTTAGAGGATCATCTGTTAACGACAGGTGCACTGAGTGGCTATCATATCTTCATATTCTTTATAAGCTATTGAGCCATCAGGCTCAATGGTCAGCACACTCAAAGGGCTGTATTTGCCAGGCACACACGATGGTCTTGGCACTGAGGAGTCAAGCTGCTTCTCATAGATGATGTTCTGCACCATGGTGTGAACTGGAGAGCCATACCGATGCCCAACTGCCCTTGGACAGTCCCCTTTACAGTACCGGGGGTTATATCTGTGCGGGGCCACAATCCAGTTGTCCCACTTCAGCTGACTAAAGCTAAGTCTAAAGTCATGGAGCTCACACTCGTTTTGGGGGAAAAGGAACTGTTTGAAGTATTCACTCAGGTTGAAAGAAGCTGGAACCAGAGGCTTCTTCAATCCTGAGCTGACAGTTTCCTGTCCTCTCCGGTGACGGGGAGATCTCACTCCCTTCGCAGCCTCTTCTCCTATAGGACAGGCAGGCAGACCTCCCTGGTCAGGAACCTGTGAAGGGCTCCCTTTAGAGTGGAGGGAATACCACCTGTGATGAGCCTGCGCACTGGTGTCGTTCAGGTACAGAAGCAGTGAGGGGCGTGCCAGGTTGAGGCGACTGTCCTGTGCTGAGGGGTGCTGCCGCTGGTCTTTCACGCATGTCAAGGTCACAGACATGTGAACACTTCTCTTGTCGGAGGCCACTAGAGGCTGCAGCAGGGCAGTCACATCAACCTCAACCCATTTGTATTTCTTTTTTAATTCAAACTGTGGCTTAAAGGTAACGGAGTGTGGAGCTCTAGGGGGTGTCTTGCTGGAACCAGGCGCTGGCTCTTTCAGCACCAGGTGGCACACACAGTTAGCAGCGGAGGGGAAAGAAACTGAGGTGTTCAAAGTATATAGCAAGACTGACTTGAGTAGGCGTTCCACAGCAGTAACTCGATCCAGGTTAAACAGCAGGTCCACTGACGGCACGGCTCCTGGGGAGAAAAAAGTCACCAATCGTGCCTGAATACGCTCCAACAGAACAGGAAGTCAAATCAAGGAATTAGTACTTTTGAATGTGCCTTCTCCCTTCTCTTTTCCCATTTCCTCAAACCTCAAAAAATGGAAAAATGGGGAGGAGGGGGAGGGCGTATACAGAAAATACAGGTAATTGGGGCTATAAGTAATTCCCAGCAATTACAAGTGCATATTTTCTCACCAGAAAGTCAAAACAGCTTTGGTGGTGAATTGAAATAACAGGGAATTATAAGACAGTTTAATTTTTAGAATCTTAATAATTTGTTCCAAACAGAGGACGATAAATAAGGAAAATACTATTTTTCTCTTGGGGAGTCTCTAGAGGGAAAACTAATAAAAAAATACTAGGTTTGCCGAAACCGGTTTGGCTCAATGGACAGAGCATTGGCCTGCGGACTGAAGGGTCCCAGGTTCGATTCCAGTCGGGGGCATGTACCTGGGTTGCGGGCGCATCCCCAGTGGGGAGTGTGCAGGAGGCAGCTGATCGATGTTTCTCTCTCATCGATGTTTCTAACTCTCTATCTCTCTCTCTTCCTCTCTGTAAAAAATCAATAAAATATATTAAAAAAAAAAATACTAGGTTTGGCCCTAGCCGGTTTGGCTCAATGGATAGAGCATCAGCCCGCCGACTGAAGGGTCCTGGCTTCGATTCTAGTCAAGGGCACGTACCCTGGTTGCAGTTTTCCTGGCCCTGGTCTAGGTGCATGCAGGAGGCAACCAATGGATTTTTTTTCTCTCTCTCTTCCACTCTCTTTAAAAATCAATGTAAAATTTCCTCAGGTGAGGATTAACAAAAAAGCAAAACAAAATAAAAAGCCCCACTAGGTTTGTTAAGCAGACATTCTAAGCCAGTGACGGCGAACCTATGACACACGTGTCAGAGGTGATACGCGAACTCATTTTTTTGGTTGATTTTTCTTTGTTAAATGGCACTTAAATATATAAAATAAATATCAAAAATATAAATCTTTGTTTTCCTATGGTTGCAAATATCAAAAAAATTCTTTATGTGACACAGCACCAGAGTTAAGTTAGGGTTTTTCAAAATGCTGACACGCCGAGCTCAAAAGGTTCGCCATCACTGTTCTAAGCCTTAATGCAGTGGTTCTCAACCTTGGCTGCACATTAGAATCACCTGGAAATCTTTTTAAAATCCTGATTTCTGGGCCTCATCCTCCAGAAATTCTGTTTCTTTGTTACTAATGTTGTGGCCCCACCCCATAACAAAGAAACAGAATTTCTGGAGGATGAGGCCCAGAAATCAGGATTTTAAAAAGATTCCCAGGTGATTCTAATGTGCAGCCAAGGTTGAGAACCACTGCCTTAATCAGGGGTCCTCAAACTACGGCCCGCGGGCCACATGCGGCCCACCGAAATCATTTATCCAGCCCGCCGGGTGTTTTTGCTGCCGCTGCCTGTTGCTTAGCAGCCGACTAGTTTTTTTTTTAAACTATAGTCCGGCCCTCCAACGGCCCTCCAACCGTCTGAGGAACAGTGAACTGGCCCCCTGTTTAAAAAGTTTGAGGACCCCTGGACTTAATGGATGGCGTCAATAAAGAAAGCTTAATTATCTAAGTTAATTTGGAACACTTGAGATAGACAACAAATAAATAATCCCAAACCACCAAAATAAAATAGGACAGCAAGAAAGGAGGGTTTGAAACAGCCACCTCTGGCCTTTTGGGTTAAAACCATGACCTAGTGAATGTAGATTTTTTAAAGCATTGCTCCTTTCATACACATTCACCAAAGTGCTGAGTCAAACTGATGACTGTTCTTGTGAGGACCTACTATTCCACATCGGCACTTACGCTTTCCTCTCACAGAAAGCAACAAACAAGGGGAAAACAGCATGTGTGACAAAGCATACCAATAGCTATGAGGTATCTTAGGCACATTTTCAGGCCAGTATTGGAGAATGGAAAGAATAAGCAACTGGAAGTCAAAATACCGGGTTTCCAGTTTGATTTTGTGACCTTCTCCAGCAGCACTTTCCTCAGCCTTCAGAGCCATTACGTCTCTTCTAGCTCTAACATTCTAACATATCAGCCCCCCTAAACCCACGAGGGCACTGGAAGAAACAGCAAGACCAAGTACCAGATTTGTTTGAATTTGGAAACTGAGTATCATGAGAAGTAAAATGCAATTCAAGAAGCAAGGCCCCGCTCTTTCTGTAACTGAAGTGCAGCCCGGTCTCTCATCTTCCCTCCCCCCATTGACCAATCTGCTCCCACACACCTGTCATCTGGTCCACAGAAGCCTGCTTGTCGTGCTGGACATGAGGGGTGAAGAGCCGAACGGTGTTGTAGAGGTGACTTCTGTTGGATTTAGGGATCCCCTCCTTGGTAGCACAGGCCTTATAGAGCCTCTTCATGTAGCGCAAAGCTCTGGAGTCTGGCTGCAGCCTAGGGACCCCACCTTGCCCATCACACAGAACCTTGAAGAGAGGGGAAAGGAGGCCAGATCTGTCCCTCCCATCTAGAGGCTGCAGCAAGGACCAAGGCTCAGCCTCAGGTTCCAATTCAGCACTGGCTGCAATCTGAGCCTCTCCCCTAGAAGCCAGAGAACCAAGGCTACTAGGAAAACACAGCCAGGAAAGGCAGCCAAACCATAAAAAGAACGTGCTGGGAAGCGCCATGGCTTGGAAGAACTAGCAAGGAACCCAGCCATACCAGTCTTCTTCCTAAAAGCCAGGAAGAACCTAGGTTGATCTCTTAAATCAATTTTAGGTGTGTAGGCGGGTAAGGTCACTTCTGTAATCAGACCTCAAGGATGCCTAGCTGAAGATAATTTTTATCAGCTGTATGTCAAACAGCTGATAACATCCTACTTTTATCCTCATTAGACACGGATTTATTTGGGTGTTTTTTGTTTGTTTTGCTTTCCTCTTCCTTTCTTCTGGCATTTATTTAAAAACCTCTTGCCCTGACCGGTTTGGCTCAGCAGATAGAGCGTTGGCCTGCGGACTCAAGGGTCTCAGGTTCGATTCCGGTCAAGGGCATGTACCTTGGTTGCGGGCACATCCCCAGTAGGAAGTGTGCAGGAGGCAGCTGGTCGATGTTTCTCTCTCATCGATGTTTCTAACTCTCTATCCCTCTTCCTTCCTCTCTGTAAAAAATCAATAAAATATATATTATTAAAAAAAAAAAAAACCTCTTAAAGTTATTGTTGTACGAATGCACCAGCTATGTAGCTGAAAGGCTAAGAGAAATTGAGAAATTATCTTAAAATAATCCCCCCCCCCTTTTTTTTAAAGCGATTCGGGTTCTTAAAATGTTCCTTAGGTGCTTGCTGAAACTTCCAATGCACGTGAAAAAACTAATTATTCATGATGATACAAAGATCTGTTGATATGCAATTTATGGTATTAGTTTACTCTTCCTGCCTCTCCCACTTTCAGGTGCTTAGGATAATTATTTATCACAGTTGATTTGGAGGGTGAGAGAAAGTCCCAGCTGGTATTGGAATTCTAGAGAGCAGAGAACTGTTAGGCTGCCCACATCTTCCAGGCGGCTTCCATAGAATATGCACTTGGAAGACAGCACCATGCTTAAAAAAGGAGGACGTCACCTTTAACCTTGACTCATTTTTAGATATAATGTCCTGATGTCTTTGCTCTGTCTGCACATTCATCGGTACATATTTTGGTTGAAAGGTTTAGAAATGTTTGCAGGTGCTAGAAAATACATGGAAGTTTTATGCACTCACTGTTTCATTCATCACTCAAATGGTGGTAGAATTTCCGAGGCCCTAGCTTATTATGGTTCTTAGCTGTTATGTCCTTGCCTTGGAGCTGAGACCGGGCTAGTGGTCACGTTTTGGGAAAATGAGACAAAGGTGCGCCACGAGTAGCCGAAATGAGGGGCTATCCAGCCGTAGTCCGGCCCGTTTGAAATGAATAAAACTAAAAAAAAAAAAAAAGACCGTACCCTTTTATGTAATGACGTTTACTTTGAATTTATATTAGTTCACACAAACACTCCATCCATGCTTTTGTTCCGGCCCTCCGGTCCAGTTTAAGAACCCATTGTGGCCCTCGAGTCAAAAAGTGTGCCCACCCCTGGTCCAGTGCCACTCCTAAGGAGACTCTGTGCTGGCCAAAAGGCAAACACAGCCCTAACCGGTTTGGCTCAGGGCGTCGGCCTGCGGACTGAAAGGTCCCAGGTTCGATTCCAGTCAAGGCCATGTACCTTGGTTGCGGGCACATCCCCAGTAGGGGGTGTGCAGGAGGCAGCTGATCGATGTTTCTAACTCTCTACCCTCTCCTTTCCTCTCTGTAAAAAGTCAATAAAATATATTTTTTTAAAAAGGCAAACACATTCCTGGTACAGGATGCAAAACCAGTCCGTGCAGTATTCAGGATGACAACACGGAGGTGTGTTTGCAAATGTAAGTTCCTTGCCTGCCAAGCCTCCCTAGCGTGTGGCTAGGCAGCAGGGTTATAAAACGCACCCAAACGGTTGAACGAGGCCTTGGTCTATATATTGACCACATGGCCAGCAATCCCATGAACAGAACATTTGCAACACCGCAGCCAGAAGCCAGACGGCTGCACAGGGAGCGGCATCCGCCAGTAGAAAGCACCTCCCAAACACACGGCAACGCCTCTCAGCCAACGTCCCTCGCCTCTCCTCCAGGAAAGCGGAGGGGAGGATGTGGGCATCGCCATCGTGCCCCACGCCCTACCCCCGCCAGACCTTCTCGGGGTGGAGGGAACGGTGTGTGTGTGGTGGGGTGGGGGGCCTGTGCTGGATGCCCTAGGGGTGGCCCCCCCTTCCCTCTTACCACCACTTAACAGCCCTCGATCAATTGCTTGACAACTATTGGGGGCCCTGTGGCAGCATCTCCGGAATGTTTTTATTCTAACCCAGGAAAGTCTACATCCTGCCAGCAGATTCTCAGGCGGCGGTGGCCGAGAGGAGCCGGGATCTGAGTCCCGGGTTTGGTGCTGGGGCCGAGCCGGTGTCCGCTGCGACGCCAGGCGGCGTGGGGCCGCGTTCGCTGCCGCGCGGCGGCTCCATCGGCCTCGGGGCGCTCTCCACCGGTGCAGGGCGGGCGGGCAGGTCGGCGCGCGGCCGGCGCGGCCCTCCAGATCTCCTGCCCCTTTCTCGTCACCTCCTGGTTCTCCCGGGCACCCAGCCGCTTCCTGCGGCTCCACCCAAGGCGGAGCGCAAAGGGGAAGCGTCAGCGCACGGGGGGCGCCCCGAGGCCCGCACTAGGGTCACACGCCCGACCCCGGCCCAGGCCCCGCCCACCCGCCGGCACCCGGCCAGGCCACTTCTCTCCAGAACGAAGGGGGAGACAGAGGCTCCTCCCGAGACAGCGGGAAAATGGTACTCCCCGGAAGTGACTTCAAGGCCTCCTAGACCGGCTTCCGGTCCTGCCGGAAGTGGCGGACGGAGACCGGTGGATCCCGCGACTGTGGAGGGCGAGGTGACCCCGGTGCGGGAGTGGGGCCCGGTGGCGGGGTCCTGGTGGCCGCTGGGAGGGTGGGGGCGCCGCCTGGGCGGGGGAGGACGAGGAGCGCCGGGAGGGCCTGCGGGGTGCGGGTGGCGCGGCCCGAGACTGAGCCCGGCGCCTGTCCCCCTCGGCCCCGCAGGCGCCGCCGCCACCATGGGCCGCGAGTTTGGGAAGCTGACCCGGGTGCGGCACGTGATCACCTACAGCTTGTCGCCCTTCGAGCAGCGCGCCTTCCCGCACTACTTCAGCAAGGGCATCCCCAACGTGCTGCGCCGCATCCAGGCCTCCATCCTGCGCGTCGCGCCGCGTGAGTGCCCCGGCCCGGGCGGGGGGCGGCGGGCGGGGGGCGGACTCCGAGCCCGGCGGGAACGCCCGCGGTCGGCAGGCGCCCCGCAACTCGCCATGCACACCCGTTCTTCTCATTGAAAATACCGCAAGGCCCCTGAACTGTCATGTCCTCGTCTCCTGTTACGGACGAGGAACCTAAGTCACAGAGAACTTGAATGGGCGGCCCAAGGTCACTAGTGTGACTCCGTCTTCCTCTGAGGTCACTTCGCCCGCTACTTGCTTGGCGGCAACTGCTTTGCGTTACAGTGAAGCAGATAGGATAGTTGCACAACATCGCGAGTTTGGTTAAATGGTGAAGTTTATGCTGTTAATTTTATTGATTTTTTACAGAGAGGAAGGGAGAGGGATAGAGAGCTAGAAACATCGATGAGAGAGAAACATCGATCAGCTGCCTCCTGCACACCCCCCGCTGGGGATGTGCCTGCAACCAAGGTACATGCCCTTGACCGGAATCGAACCTGGGACCCTTGAGTCCGCAGGCCGACGCTCTATCCACTGAGCCAAACCGGTCAGGGCAGACCCTTTTCTTTTGGTCACTTATCAAATGGGTATGTAATGTCACCCTTCTTCTGTTTAAATCCGCACCTGATGATGTGTTCGTTGGTTTTTAGGGAGGGAGAGAAGGAAATACCGATGTGGGCAACATCGGTCGGTTGCCTCCTATAGGTGACCCGACCGGGACTCCGACCGCACCCTTTGGGGGTTCGGGGACTGCGCCCGCCTCCCGATCCGCCGGCCAGGGCTGGCGTCACCCTGCTGGGCCGTCTGGTTTAAAAGGGTTTGTTGGAAACTAGAAACAGGAGGGCAGAATCTGTTGTGATGCAGAAAAGAGGATGGGGACTCCGTTGTCTCATATGTGCTCACTGCTTTTTCTCTCGCTTTTGATTTTTAAAGCATTTGTCGCATTTTATCTTGTCTACACATGGGGGACTGAGGAGTTTGAGAAATCCAGGAGGAAGAATCCAGCCACCTATGAAAATGACCAATGAGCAGCTCATCTGGAGGATGGTTCCTGGTCTCTGAAAGACCCTTCTCTGGGAGAGGAGTCTGCAGTGTGTAGTGTCTTGAGGACACAATAAACTTCTTATGGGCTGCCATGTTGTGATTTTGCATTTTTGTGAGCAGAGTCCTTGGTGTGACTTGCTAACCTTCAAGTTAATGAACTCCCTTCCCCAGAAGAGCCCTGACCCGTTTGGGCTAGTCTGGGAATTCGGTGAAGGAGTGGGGCTCACCCCTTGTTCTACAGTATGATCTCCAAGAAAGTAGCTGCAGCTACTCTCGCAGGCTGGCCAGCTGTGGGTGGCATGGACTGTGGGGAGTGTTGGTTCCCCTCCCTCTGATCCTCTAACAATAATAAAACCTGACTATGTTGTAATTTCTGTGTCAGGCACTCTTCTTAGTCCTTTACACAAATGAGCTTTTAAACCTCACAACTACCTTTGAAATATTATTACACTCATTTTGCAGATGAGGACACAGGCACAGGGAGGGTTAACAATTTGGCCAAAATTATATAGATAGTGAAATGGTGGAGTCTGGCATTATAGTTTATGTTCTTAAAGTTACACTGTACTGCCTTTTCTCCTAAGGCAGGCCTTCCATAGTTAGCCTGAGGGGAAGTCAGCTATAAAAGGAGGGGTGAGGTGACCCCTTGACCTCTAGAGCTGGGGCAACACCCTGGCTATTTGTACCAGATTGCTCACAGTGGTTATTAACCATATATGCCCCATAAAGCCTAAAATATTTACTCTCTGGCCTTTTATGGAAAAAGTTTACTCCTGGAGCCTTTGAATATATATTTTGGTAGAAAGTTTTATTTTTTTATTTATTTATTTTTTTAAAATATATTTTATTGATTTTTTACAGAGAGGAAGGGAGAGAGACAGAGAGTTAGAAACATCGATGAGAGAGAAACATCGATCAGCTGCCTCCTGCACATCTCCTACTGGGGATGTGCCCGCAACCCAGGTACATGCCCCTGACCGGAATCGAACCTGGGACCCTTCAGTCCGCAGGCCGACGCTCCATCCACTGAGCCAAACCGGTTTCGGCGAAAGTTTTATTTTTTTAACAAAATGTACTAAATATATTCATCACTGGGGCCAAACCGGCGACAACTGAAATAAACAACAAATATGACACCACAGCTAAAGATGGAGTCCTATACAGAAATAAGTCAAGGACAGAAAATCTGAGGAAAAAGGAAAAAGTACAGGTCCTGGCCAGGTAGCTCAATCGGTTAGAGCAGCAGTTCACATCCTGTGGGTGGCGACCCCTTTGGGAGTTGAATGACCCTTTCACAGGGGTCACCTAAGACCATTGGAAAACACGTATATAATTACATATTGTTTTTGTGATTAATCACTATGCTTTATGTTCAATTTGTAACAAAATACATCCTGTATATCAGATATTTACATTACGATTCATAACAAAAATTAGTTCTGAAGTAGCAACGAAAATAATTTTATGGTTGGGGGGTTGCCACAACATGAGGAATTATTAAAGGGTTGTGGCATTAGGAAGGTTGAGAACCACTGGGTTAGAGTAAGCATGTCAAACTCAAAGGCTAACACGGGCCAAATAAACAAGGTTTAAGTTTATGTGGGCTGCAAAAAAAATACAAGCTTCAATTTTCATAGAAACGTAGGTTTATTTCAATAGAGATGCTGAATACAAAGGGCTGAAATGAGTAATCATTAACAAAATAATACATTTTAATAAAAATATATATTTTTTAAAGACATCTTTATTGATTTCAGAGAGGAAGGGAGAGGGAGATAGAAACATCAATGATGAGAGAATCATGGATCAGCTGCCTCCTGCACTCCCCACACTGGGGATCAAGCCCACAACCCGGGCACGTTCCCTTGACTGAAATTGAACCCAGGACCCTTCAGTCCACAGGCCGACACTCTATCCACTGAGCCAAACCAGCCAGGGCAAAATATTTTTTCTTGAAATTAACTTAGCAGACATTGAATAACTGCACAAATTAATAAGCATAACGCAAATAAACCTATTCTCCGGAAGCAAAATATTTCCTGTTGCGCATACCAAACAAGTCAGTACAAGACTAATGACGTGGCAATCAGCTGCTAAAACATTCCCAGCTAATATTAGTGAAGTAAAATGGTGTGCCTGCGCATAAGGTGCGTAAGGGAAATGAATGCAACATGATTATACTAATCAGTCATTAGCAAACCTAGCTCAATAATTATGTATAACAGGATGTTGTAAAAATTGAGGTTTCTATTAAAATGTTTCTTGCATACCATTATATTGGCTGGACCGCAAAAATATTCATTGTGGGCTGCATGCAGCCTGCAGGCTGTGAGTTTGACATGCTTGGCTTAGAGCATCCTCCCGATATACCAGGGTTGTGGGTTCTATCCTCGGTCAGGGCACATACAAGAATCAACCAGTGAATGCATGAATAAGTGGAATAACATGAATGTTTCTCTAAAATCAATAAAATATTTACAATAATGTTTATTTTAGAAAGCACAAGGAGAGAGACTGGACAGCCAGCTCAGGGCTCTTGACTGGAGACCTGCTTTGCATAGGTTTCTTGCAGGCACTTACAGACTGTGAGGTTTTTCCAGAGCTTGGCCATATGTGTGTTCAACAGGCTGTCCATGTTGGGTTCTCCTAGCAGGCTCTGGACGGGGAGCAGGATGGTCCTGATGTCGTACAGGGCAGACCACAGATCCTTCGGGACGTCCAGGCAGATGTTACCCTGGGTGTCCGCATCAGCATGGTAGCAGGGATAGGAACTTTGCCACAGGTTGGCCACTGGGGAGCTCTAGGGAGAGCTGGTACCTCATGTCTTCATAGACTGTGCCAGCTGCTCCATGGCTGGTCCTCACCCATTTGAAAAGGTGGTCTGATTCAGGGAAGGCAGAAATTCCTTTGTTGCCAGACATCATGGGGTCATCAGCTCCTGTAACCTCCACACCATGCACCTCTTGCCCACGGGGCCCTCCACTGGGCTCACTCCTTCGCCGCAGCAGCGAAGCTGGCAGCAGCTGGGTTGCGGTTCTGGGAAGTGCTGGGAGGGACACAGGAACTCGGAGACCACCACTGTAACTCTAAAAGGAATCTTTTTCCTTCCGACAGCAGTTAGTGTGGTAAGGGTTGGCAGTTTTATGCTTATGCTTCCCTGCTCCGCTTCTAGAAATTTCCTAAGTACACTTGTTGCTGATCCAGAACGGCAACTTTCACTGCAGTTCAGCTTCTCTCTCAGGCTGCATCTTTCCTTCTTATTCTCATGATTGTTCTTGCCTTTTAGGAACCAAAGTTAAAATACTTCCAAATCTAAAAATAAAAAATTGGTAAGGTAAGCTGCATTCATTGTGAGGCAGGATAAGGAGGAATGGCTGAGTGACAGACTTGGGCCCATACCCTTTTACTGTTGCTTCCTTCCTGTGATATAGGCAAGAAAACTGCATTCCTGAGCTTTGAACTTGCTGCCCATAAAACAGATGTGTTAATAATTTTCCTGTTTGGCTCTTTGTCCAAATTTATTCTCAGGGCTTGCCTGAGATGTAACATATTTGGGTTGTGGACTTTTTTGAGAATGATGAGAGCTGTGGACCTGAAGATGTAAATATACCCATCCATAACTTTGCATCGTTTCAACAGATGCATGCACCAGGGGAGGACCACTGCCGTTCATGAATCTCTCTCCCTCTCTGGTTTTAGCCCCAAGCTTCCTAGGGGAGATGGCCACCCTTTCCCACCTTCTGGGCTTCATTTTTTAAAAATATGTTTTTATTTTAGAGAGAGGAAAGGAGAGGGAGAAGAGAAACATCAATGAGAGAAACAATTGGCTGCTTCCTGCACGCCCCTACCAGGTATGGAGCCTGCAACCTGGGCATATGCCCCTACTGAGAATCAAACTGGCAACCTCTGGGTGCATGGGACGATGCTCAACCAAGTGAGCCACACCAGTCAAGGCATTCTTGGCTTCATTTTACCCTAAGACTTTCTTTGACTCCTTTGGAGGTACCAGCTCAAATCAAGCTTGCCCTTTCCCAGCACTGAGCCTGTTGGTCTGAATCCTTTTTATCTCAGGAGTACCCTAAGAAGCCCTTGCTGTAAGCCCTATGTAGGCTGAGCTTCTGCTTTTAGATAAAGCTGTGAAAGGCTGCTTTTAAGCCCGTCTCTTATTAAAGAGCTGCCTCTCTAAACTTGGAGGCACAAAGCTCTGCAGCAGGGCGCTGGGGTGGTGGTGGCTGAATGTGGTGAGTTGTCATAGCTCAGTGCTCCTGTACATGATTTGGGATCTGGGATCATTTTAAGGACTACTTGTAGAAATCCATAAAGAAAAGGAAAACTTGGGTAAAGTATCTTAAGGAAGAGGAACCACTACTGTGGGCCTCAGTATCTATAACCCACCCACCTGTCCCCTCCAGCCTTCGTGCAGCTCCTTCACCTGCCGCTGGGGGCACAGCCAGTTAGTTGTTCATTTTGCCCTTCTTTCCCCCAGCAGTGCTCCTACCCCCAACAAAGGCATTCATTTCTGGGCAGCAGAATGGGAACTCTTCAGTTGGCCAACAACAGTCCTGGAGATACAGGTTTGCCTAGTGCAGGCACAGAACTCTGCCAATTCCAGCCAGCAAAAAAGCGAATACATTTTGACCCTTTGTTGAAATTTCACCTAGAAAAGTTTTTCTGTTTCAGGAAAGTCGTTTTTTATTAGGCCCCTCCTGCTCGGGGACAGCACAAAAGTTTCCAGTTACTGTTAAGGCCTAATGATCTCTCCTCCTAAGATGTTCAAACATCTGTTTGTGTCCTACACCCTCTTCCTCGTTTCATCCCAGGCGCCTACCTCCAAAGCAGGAAATCCCTGGGAGCTGTGTTCAGAGTTATCCATGCTATAAACGATCAATGCTTCAGTCTCAATTTCTTCTTGTAAATTAATCACACGAACCCCCAAATGTCAGTGCCTGAGAGGCCTCAGGGATCTCCTCCCATCTCATGGACAGAACAAGAGACTAAAGCCCAAAGAGGGGCTGGGCTGGCCTGTGGTCCGTTACCCTACCGAGACCCCACTCCTGCCTCCCAGCCAAGCACTCTTCTTACAGCTGAAATTGTTAGAGGCTGCTTAAGCCTTTCCCTGGAGGGAGGAACATGTAGTTATGTACTTTATTCAGCGAAATACTTGATTGCAGGGAGCCTGTGACATTTAAAAATTTTTTAAATTTTTTAATTTGATTTTGCTTGGAGTACAGGAAGGCAGAAATGGAGGATTAGGAGAAAGTACCCATCTTTGGAATGAGCAGGTTCCAAATCCCATTTGGCACATCACTCCAGGCTGATAAAGGGGAGCCTGGCACTGAGTCCACAGACCCGACTGGCTCTAGGACATCACGTTGCTCAGTCTTTTGCTTATCTAATCACATTTGTTCTTACCCAATGTTCACTAGGTCACCACGTAGCCTCTTCCCCACCCTACAAAGTTCCTAGTTAAGCCCCTACCTGAGGTCACCCAGAGTAAAGGGAAGGAGCAGCTAACTGGTCACAAACTCGCAGAACTGGTTAGCTGAGTTTAGCAGAGATCTGCTTCTCAGTGTTTCTGAAAGTACAAGCAGTGGTGTCTCCTTCTAGGCCTGGAACCAGGACAGACAGCTGTGGTCACAGCCTGCCCCACCCAGCTTTGAGGTCCACCATACCACCCTCCGCTCCCTTGGCAAGAGGATTGGCGACCTTCTGTTTCACCTTCAGCTGTGCCGCATCTCCTCCTCTTTTCCTCGGAGAACAGGAAGGTTCTTACCAAATATCCAACCTCTGAAGATGAGAAGGGCCTTGGAAACAGATACCAGCAAACTTTTCACAAAGACACCAGGCAGAGAAGAAATCTTATTGCATTTGTCTTGTTGGCTAACCTTTCTAGGTCTCATGTAAATCTAAAGTCCTACCAATCTCTTTACTCAGAATTCACATCTTGGCCCCCAAATGTATTAAAATGCCCATGTCATTTAATGAATACCCATAGCTACTCATGGTTGCCCCGAGAAGCCAGCAGCAGTTCCTACTTTGGGCTTTGGAGACAGCTCAGCTTAGACCTGCTTCCCTGAGGCTGCAAGAAGGACATGCTCTTTAGGAGGCCCCAGTGGCCTCTTGGGAGGGAAGTCCATAACTCAAGGCTTTGCAGTGTGATTTATCACCACCACACAAGTTTAGGAGCCCTCGCTCCCAACTCATTCACAGAATAAACAAGACATCAACCTATACTCATTCATTCGAGTCACCTGTGGTTCGCATAAGTCCCACATCAGTCCTGATGGCCTTACCCCCAGGCGAGGGCAGGTAGACAAGATTTTGAACTTTCCATAGCTGGGTCTCTATTCTTCCGGGAAGATGATCTGGAGCAGAGAATTAGGGTGACAGTCAATCTACATAAATGAGGGACTGCGGCACTGTAGACCCTGCTTGCCAAAGCATCCTCCCACAGTAGGGAGATGGGGGCATTATCCAATTGCCTATAACACAATAGCTCAGTGCCTCTTTCCTAGACAAGACTGAAAGGGGTCAGCGCTATTTCTGAAGACCTCATTATTAGAATTCTATTTTGATATAAATGATCTCACTGAGCTATTTCGGAATCAAAATATGGCTAGGTGCCTGGCCTCCCTCAATGTCTTCACGTGGCTTTCACAGGGAAGGGTAGTGCTGACTTTTGCTAAAATGGGTGAAAGGGTCCAAGCAGCCAACATAATCACTCAAAGTCCAGATGAGAGATCAGTAAATACAACGTGCCTGAAAGGCAGGCCTTGAGCACATTCCTCTGGTAGACATTAACTTATTAAATCGATCCTGATTGCAACAATAAACTTTGCCCCCATCCCACCTGGCATCCATAAACGAGGCACATTTCAGTCTATAAAGGTGGGAACTGTCCCTGGCTTTCAGGCTCCAACACTCCGTGTCAAGATGTGGCACCTTAAACTCTTTGCAGTGCTCATGATCTGCCTGTTACTGTTGGGCCAGGTAAGGATACGAATGTGGGCGTGCAGGGACGGTGGCACTGTAAGCAGAGCCCAAGATCCAGACTCCATCCTGAGGAATGATTCTTCTGCACTCAGTCTGCAGCATCCTGGGAATGACAATTCCTCCAAGATGTTCAGCAGGGTGTCAACCCTTCCACACCTGAGGTGAATTTGTCTTTGCCCCACAGATAGATGGCTCCCCAATATCGGAACTGAGTTCAGCAAAGAGAAGGCTGCGGAGAATGACACCATTTTGGAGAGGGGTTTCCCTCAGGCCCATTGGAGCCTCTTGCCGGGATGATTCCGAGTGCATCACCAGGCTATGCAGGTACGCCACAAACTTGGGAGCAGGGCTGAGCCAAAGAGGCCTGGGAAGCTGGGCAGAGATCAGCACAATCACAGACCTAAGAATAAAGTTGGGATGGAGGACTTGAGGCTGGGAGCTCCTTGGCGAATCCCTCAGGAGTTAAGAGCCAAGGACAGTTACACAGGTGCCATGAAAGAGCGGTGCCTTTCCTCTCTGCAGTCCTCCCTGAGCTTGGATAGCTCAAACCAGAGGAAGGAAACAGAATTGGCTCTGGGCACTGCTATCTTTATTCTTTATCTTAAAAACCACCTTTTGTTTTCCCTTAGAAAGAGACGCTGTTCCCTAAGTGTGGCCCAGGAATGATGGACATACCAGGGAAAAAGAGGAACAGCACTCACCTACAATGCTCCGTTCTATGGAATATTGATTGACTGCATATTGGCTGGAGACACTTTAGGGAAGCAATCTTGTGTTTTTAATATTTAAAGACAGATTATGCTTTAAATTCGTCTCCGTTTCTTCTTAGAATGTTATTTAGATGAGCATAACTAAACTTGTCAATTTAGAGTTTATTTTTCTATGTATATTATTAAAGGTCTCAAATTTGAAAATTTGGCAGTCTGAAATTTAAGCCTTTGAGTGGAAGAAGGGTCACTTTGTATACTCTAGAAAAAATACCCCAGCATTGCCTAATAATCATGTGTTGTTACTGTTCACACTTGATCTTAACCAAAAAGCTGAGAAGTGATGATGTGTTACTTCTCAACCCTGAAAGTTAACAGTGAGTAGCAACAGAAGTAGTGAGAGTTAACCTTTTTTCAAGAAATAAAGAACATGCCTTGGCCAGCGTGGCTCATTGGTTGAGTGTCAACCATGCACTAAAAGGTCACAATTCCTGGTCAGGGCATATGCCCAGGTTGCAGGTTCGATCCCCAGTTGGGGTGCATGCAAGAGACAGCGAGTGATGTTGTTCTCTCACACTGATGTTTCTTTCTCTCCCTCTAAAAAACACAAAAACAAATAAAAAACCCCAAAATGAACAAGGTGGCAAGCTACAGGCACCAGATTAGTAATAGCTATGTGATCAGCAAGTTCCCAAGCTGTGGTCCTGGATCCTAGCCCTTCATTCCCTGTACAAGAACTCTTCAGTAAGGTGCCAAAAATGGGCAATGCTGGCACTGGCTACCTGATGATGTGCCCAAGTTTGTGACTGAACAGAAGGCAGAAATGAAAGAAAATCTAGCTAAATCCTATATAATAAAAGGCTAATATGCAAATAGACTGAACGGTGGAACAATCAAACAACCGGTCACTATGACATGCGCTGACCACCAAGGAGTGTGCGTGGAACATGGCAGGCATTGGCTGTGACGGGATGGTGAGGCAGGTAAGTGAGGGTGCCAGACCAAGGTGGGGTACAGTCACTGTCATCGGGGAGTGCCTCTGGTGGTTACTGAAAATTCTTTGCGCCCATGTGCCGCAATCCCACCCAGCACTCTCACCTGCTGCTGGCACCGGCCCCGCTTGCACTGCAGCAAGCGCCAAAGCTGCCACTCATACTTGGCACCAGTCCTGATTGCTTGGGGCTATCAGCGGGTGGAAGTGGCGCGGCCCTGATCGCCCCTGAGGGCTTCTCCACCTCCCCCTGCTCCTGAGGGGTGATTGGGGCAGCAGCTGCCGCTCTCACCCACTGATAGGGCTGGCCCCCTCCCACCCACTGCTGGCACTGGCCCCAATCACTCGATGCTGTTAGCGGGTGCAAGCCAGGCCGGTGCCATCAGCAAGTGGGAGCTGCGGCAGTGGAAGCAGGACTGCCAGCAGATAGGGGATCAGGGGCCTGGCAAGGGTGCGGAGGATGGGCCAAGACCAGCCCCTATGCCCACTGCAGCCTCGTGGCCCACAGTTCCTTTCAAGGTGCATGAATTCGTGCACTGAGCCGCTAGTAAAACAATAAAAGTCCAAGGCACAGAAACAGCAAAAAGGGTTTGTCTGAGATTTCTGTTAGTGCAAGGTGAATTCTGATCTATGCAAAGGGACCCATGGCTAGCAAAAGTGCAGAATTTCTGTAATGAGAAAATGAGACCTGGACTAATAGAACCAGACTTTTAAAGAAAAGTAGTACTGGGCCCTAAAACACAAAACAGAAATTACATATAAAGGGTAAACTGAGAATTGACAGTTTATAAACTTTAATACAGAAAATCTATTTGATATTTATTAAACTTAGTTTCTCCAGCTATGGTTTGGCATTATACAAAGCATCTTAATGACACAGTAGAGTTAAAAAGATCTTTACAAATTGAAATGTGATACCCTTGTCTCCAAATATTTTAATTGCCATAAATTTGTTTAAAAATACACATTAAACGCATGTTTGACACTCTAAACTTTCTATAATCTCAATACCACAAAATACATATAATATACTATACAGATGTGGAAAAATCTAGTTAGTATATAATACTTTGCTCACCATTAACAGCTTTATTATGTGAAATGCACATACTGACTTAGAAATCCTAGCTTTTGAACCCCAAAGTACCTCTGAAATTTTGACATATTGCAACAAATAAAAATCACAGTATATAATTGAAATTTTGGTTGAAAATGTCAGATGCCTAAATATTTTGGATAAAAGAAATGTAAAACAAAGATCTGGTTCATGTACAAAACAACGGCATCCAACAGACACTAACAGTACCTTTCTGTAGAATCAACAAGCCTTCTAATTTTATCAGCGGCAACACCTCCCCTCCAAAACCCTCCCTGGATATCAAACCATTATTAGCCAAATAATTTTAATTTCAAATAAGATAAAAGGACTTTCAATAAATATATAAGCATTTCTATCCTCCATATATAAAATTTCTTAAAACCATTCTAACGGAGGCTAGAGGCTAGATAGAATTTTTCCTAACTGTGCTTACCACCCCACATCTGGTCAACAGTGGTGCCTTTTCAGGCACTGCCACTTGGGCCAGCTCTGTTGGTGAGCCCCACCCTAACCCAACCCCAGTACTGTTGAATGCTCATGTCAATGATTTGCCAGGTGTGTGCATAAAACTGTAAAACAGGGACACTTCTTGAACAGCTATAACAAACTCAACAGTATGAATAATTATGGCATTGATTTGAAAGGCAGCATTTCCAAAGAGATATTTTCCTAGAGAGAAATATAAGCAGGTAGAAAATTCCAATGGTTAAAAGCTGAAAAGAAACTCCACGTGGAAGCAGATAGAGGTCAAAACTCAATTATTTCTAGAATTTCTGGGAGTTCCAGCCCCCACTCCCTCCCCGCTTTGCTCATTTAGAGAGCTCTTTTGTTTCTTTTTAAGAATGGCAATGGCAATTTACGCTTAGCTGAGCAATGGTGGCAAGGAGAGGTCAGTGGCAACATTCCCGAAAGTCAACTTCCATTACAAGATGATGATTTAGGCTGCTATTTTATGATGCTGAAGATCTACAAGACTTGGTTCAGATTTGATTCTGATGCCTTATTCTGTGACCAAATCTATCAAAAAGAAGAGACTTAAATATCATTTCCTTTCCCTTTTCTGGAGACAGTAAGTTCTTTTTAATTAACCACAGGGTTCGACTGAATAGAATCAGCACCTGCTTTACCAACTATTAATAACTTGCTTCCTGTCACTTACCAGCTTGGTTCTAGGGTCCAGGGTGTCTAAAGTGAATTTCTCCTTCAGTGAGTATGTGAAAGATATACTCACAAACATGACCAATTTGGTCTCTCGTCACTACATATTCCAAGTCATTCCATATTTCTCTCTTCTATTTATCTTATGGAATAGCAACCTTAAATGTGCAATATTATTTATTATTGGAAAAAAATCAGCCTCTCCAACACATTGATATATGACCTGAAATGAAATCTGTGTTCCACATTAATTAGGGAACACGAGTTATAGGAGTCTATATGGATTTGAAATGCTTTCCCAATTTTCTTAGGTTTTGTTGTTTTTAAAAAAACATCACCACAATCTGCCTAAAATCAGTCATTCCAAGTAGATGTTCCTGAGACCCAGAAGCAAACTACTATAATTCAAAATACATGAGGCCATTCTGTCCAATTAGCAACTGGAAAATTAAAATCCTTCCCACCCTGTAAGAGCCCTATTATACTACAAAGGGCTCTATATATTTTAAAAGTTAATTTACTACAAATCATAGTAATTAAGTTTTAAGATCTAAAAGGAATACACATTGCACCCTTGAACATTATTCAAGGTGTCAACAAGAAAGTGTCTTAGATCAATTTAATAAATAATGTGGAAATAGTTGCACTAAGCTAAAATACTAAACACACAATTTTTGACAAACTAAGTTCATGTTTTCATACATACATACATACATATATATAAAGTGTGTATGTGTACATAGTTTTAAAATCCAAAGTTGCAGACCCTCACACCTAAAAGAGTGCACAGCTACCTCTCCTCTGCACACAGGCATCTCGGACTGGAGAGACCACTGGCCGCTCTGAAACTCTATGGAGTCAAAACATTAATTTAGAACAGGTGCCTTTTGCAAGCACTTGCTTCACAATGCAAGCTCATTCAAAAAAAAGGTAACTTCGCAAAGTTTCTGTCATAAAACACGAAATGATGCTATCTGAGCTGATTAAACCTTTCTTTACTCAAAAGAAACAACAATGAAAAACAACAACAGTGAATCTAATAAAGTCACAAGTGTATCAAAGTGCAGCCCAGATGCCTAAGGAGCCATCAGTGCGAAAGCTCCTCAGCGCACAGGCGTGTATGGACAAGTACACACGTTACTCTACATTGCTTTTTACTTTGGAGAATTAAATTAGTGATGGTCAACCTTCTCCACTCTTCAGCAACTATAATTGTAAATTTATTGGAAGTACTCATTACTTTTAAAGTCAGTTCTTGGCTACTTGCCCAGAAAAAGGTGGCACTGAGGCAAGAAGCGGGCAAAATGCTCTCCAGCAAGACTGGGCCTAGGCTGGACTGTAGAAGTTTGAGAATCAGCTGGAGGGAAGTGCTCCCCATAGCCCAACCCAGACTGACCAAGGCTATTATGCAACAACTTCATCCACTGCAATCTGCTGGTTGGTTGCCTACAGAGAGTCCAATGGTATAGGCTGCTAACTCATACAAGTGTGGTCACAAAGAGCAGTCAACAGAGTAGTTTTTAAATAGTTGCTATTTCTAGAATTAACTATATATTAAGTACAAGTTTCAGACTACTAAGTAAGTTTTTAGTCACTTGTCAAATACCGTTTTAAATGGTTGGAGAACACTGAAGACACCTACTGAGGAAGGAGGAATGGTCACCTGTAAAGGAGTCCGAAGTATGTGCTGGAGCAGATGAAGACGCAGACAGAACTTCTGAGGTGGGCTCAGGAGAGGAGTGGTGTTTCCAGAGAACATTACCTTAAAGATTCAATTCTTTAGGATAGGATTTTGATCCACTGCCCATTACTACCTGGTGGGAAAAACCCACCACAGTGAAAAGCTTGACAAACTCACTCTCCCAGAATTGACACAGTTTTTAGAGAAAGAGTATCTTAGAGCAGCACCATAAAACATGCAGGAAACTCTGCTTTAACCAAACGCTGGTGTGACCCTAGAA